GCATCGCCCCCGAAGGCGGGGGCGGGAGAAGGCCGCTGGCCTTCGGCGCCCCCTCTCCGAAGCGGCGTAGTAGCTGAAGCGGGGCGCAAAACCCCGACGTCTGCCACCGCTCTTCGGCTCCCTCCACCAGGGCCGCCGCCTCGGGCAAGGCCTCCGACGCCCCGGTGCGCAGCTCCTCCAGCTCCCCAGGAAGACCGACCCGCCAGGGGCTGCATGTGCCCCGGCACCTTCTTCGCGAGGGCGACCAGGTAGATCGCGCCCTCGGGCGGCGGGCCCCCGTCGGCGTCGAGCGGTGCCGTCGTGAGCCAGCAGGGCCCCGTCGTCGCCCGCGGGCCTGTCGCGCGAGCTTGACTCCACTGGGGAGGTGATATCATCGCCCTGGGGGCCGCCATCACGAGGCCCTCGGCGCGCGCCGTCGCGGGAATGGCAGCGCAGTGCTTCGAACTGAACGCGGAGCGCGATGGATCCACCGCTCCAGAGGTGACTAATGTCAAGTCGCCTATCCGCAACGCGGGGGCTGCCATCGACATCCGTGATGAGCAAGGAAGGCAGGGGAACCAGCTCCTTCAAGGTAGGTTTCGGCTTCCACGAGGCTTGCGAGCCCTCCGCCCACCGCGGCGGGCCAGGCCGCGCAGCCTATGCCCTCGGCCAGGAGGGCCCGAAAGTGGACTTGGGCTTCGCGCGCGCGAGCTCCAGCCACCCGATGACGAGGAACAGCCCGCAGCACCGCGAAGAGACGGTCCGCGGGTGCGTTGAGCTCGACCTCGGTGAAGCGCGACTCCTCGTCGACCTCGCGTCGGCCGCCCTAGCGCCCTCGCCAGAGAGCCCGCCGCGCAGTGGCGCTCGGCGGAGCGCGGGGGGGGGAGGGGGCGGGCCGCGGGCGGAGGGCCCTCCGCTGGACGCGCTCGGGGAGCCCCTTGAAGGAGACGGGCGCGTCTTCATCGCCCGACTCGGGCTCCGCGACCAGCTCCCACTCCTGCGCCTGCTCTGCGCCCCGCAAAGGCAGCCGTGCGAGGGCGGGGTCCCCGCGCCCGCCGTTCTCGACGCCAAGCTCAAGATCGAAAAAGGGGCCAGCGCCTCCCAAATGGCCTCGACCGTGGCCTGGGCATTCACAGCTCTCTCCGCGGGCGTAGCCCTGGAGGCGGCGCGCGCGGCCGCGGCCGAGACAAACGCCAGTGCGGCGGCTGCGTCTCCCGCGGCGGCCGCCGCTTCGGCGGCGGGGGGGCGGGGCTCGGCGCCCCGCGCGAGCGGTCGTGGAGACCGCGGCGAAACCCCAGCAGTCGTAGCAGCCCTCGAGGCGGGCGCGCCACGACGAGGAGGTCGAGCAGGGCGACGAGGCCGCCGACCAGCGGCTATGCGCGGAGGTGGCGCGAGCCCCAGCAGCGCAAGCGGGGGGCGGCCGAGACGGCGGAGCCGAGCGGGGCGGTTCCCAGGAGCCCCAATCCAGCCTGAAAGGGCGCGGGCCTGGGGGGCGGCTAGCGGGCTTGAGCTCGGACCCGGCGCGAGATGTGGCAGTCGACCCTATTCTCAAGGAGTCAGAGGAATCAAGCGTGCTTGGAATCCGCAACTCAGCAAGCAAGCAAGCGCGCAAGCAAGTGCGCAAGCACGCGCGCAAGCAAGCAAGCGCGTAAGCAAGCAAGCAAGCGCAAGCAAACAAGCAAGGGAGCAAGCAAGCAAGCAAGCAAGCAAGTAAGCAAGCAAGCAAGCAAGCATGCATGCATGCATGCAAACCAACAAGCAAGCAAGCGAATTAGGGGGGCGGCAACGGACCAATTAGTAAGGTTTGAGCTAGGACTCCTATAGGGCAAGCCTGTTTGGAGATAGTATCAAAAATGATCAAAAATCATGAAACATCGTCACCAGACTATTATCGAAGTCTGTTTGAATATTCCCACGGTGGAAAGACACGCCCGACTTAACCCGACCCGGTCCGGCCTCTGCCGCGCCCTTTTGGCGGCTGGCGCGCCTCCCGTGGCGCTGCCTGCGTCTCATCCGCGGCAGCCCCCCCCCCCGCGTCTAGAATCTCCAGACACAGACCTCCTCGCGCTGCGAAAAAATCACGACGGGAAGTTTTTCGTTATTTTCTGCCTCTTGGGACGCTCACCAGGCCTCGGGACCGACAAAAAACGACGCAAGACGAAAAACGGTCCCGTCTGGGAAGGGGTCCAGAGCTCTGGGGCCGACATGGTGAAAAAATGACGACACCGGGGGTCTGGGGTCGTGGGGAAGTCAGTCCGCGCCGGGCCATCCTCGGGCGCGATCGGCTCGGCGAGCGTCCGCCCACGCACGGGGCACGCTTCGTCGTCTGCCGACGTTGCCCCGCCAACCAAGCAGCGTGTACTAGCCCATCAATGCCCAGCATCCGGCCGCCCGGTCTGACAGGAACTTTATCGGCCGCGTCGACGCCATTCGAGCCAAAGGAGCCCCGGTGTCGCAGCAAGCCGCCCTTCGCTGGAGGGACTCCGATCCTATTCTCTACACGGTTGACCAGCTCAACAGCTTCCTCCTCATCGTCCCACTTCCTTCCCTCTTATGCGGGCAGCGCGCCGATCCTGCTCTCCACGCGGCTGATCAGCTCAACAACTTCCCTCTCATCGCCCCGGTGGCGTGCGCGCCGACCGCCACTCATGCGGCGCGGATGGAGGAAGAGAGCTCGCAGAAGCTGGGTGCCTCACGCGACCTGTCGCGACGCAGCCGCCCTCCGCGGGCCTCCGTCGGATCCCCCACGCCCCTCCCGCCGGCTGCGTGCCACCTTGCCGTTCGGATGCGCCGGGCAGCCAGGGCGCCCTCCTAGGCCTCGGCCTTGGCCCCGCACCTTGTCCATCGTCACTGCGCCTGACCCGGCTGGGGGGCGCCCCGAACCTACCAGTGGGGTGCGGGACCTCTCGCGCACTCCTCCTCTGGAGGCCACGTCACCCCCCTGCTCCTTGTGCCGGGACTGGGGGGGGCGCCGTGGCCGGAGAACGCTGCGCTGGGCACTCAACACCGCATCTTCCGGCGACGCCTGCTCCCACGCGGCGTCCTTGCACGGTGGGCCTGCGAGCGGGACGACTGCGACGACCACCCTCCGACAACGACACGCCAAGCCTGCCCGACCCCGCCTCCGACGCGCCTGAGGATCCTCCCGGTGCGCTCCGCCAGTGCAGCCAAACGCTCCCCACGATGGCCCCCCCCCACCACCGCCTGTCACCCCGCGACATCCACCTCCCCACGACTCCGTCTGACGACCACTGGGCACCGACCCCTTCGAGGAGAACAGTCGTCGTGTTGGGAAGAAGGGGTTGGGATGATGAAGGGTGTGAGCAATAGCATCCGGATCCCAAGAACGAGACCTTCGGCCGCCTACGGGTAATGCTACCCCCATTTCTCCCAACACCATCCTCCCAACCCGACAAATATCTTCATGACCCTTTCGTTCCCGCCCCCCGCACCCTTCGCCCCCGCGCCGCCGGGATGGCGCTGCTGAGGGCGGGAGGGCATCCCTCGCCCATGGGCTGTTTGCCCCTTCCCCCCCCCCCCCCCCCCCCCCCTCCCCCCCCCCCTCCCGGCCATGCAAGAGCACCACGAAGCGCCCTTCCGCGCTCGGCTCACCACCCATGTGACCCCACACTGTTCAAAAAAAAGATGTGCGATCCCCGGACGGAGCACTCCAACTAAAAAATACAATGGTTACCCGAGGGGGGATCAACAATACTTATCATAAACAATTCAGCAACATCAGCCATAACATCAACAACAACAATAACAACAACAACGCCACCACCAACAACAACAACAACACTAACAACAATATCACCACCAACAACAACATCAACAACAATCCGCGCCACGGAACCTCACTTCAGCCAAGCGCCCAGGGACAATGAATGACCGTTCGGCCCGCCACCGCGCTTTGTCGTGGCTGGGGTGCTGGTCCCGTCGCATGTCTCTGGTAACGGGCCCGCATTTTCGGTCTCAAGTCCACTGGTGCGTTGGACTTGAGACAAGGGGAAGCATGGGCCAGACGTCTTGTTCTGCAAGCTGCTCCTCAACCATGCCCAGGACGGCCAGCGATCCGCTCAAGATGGCTCCACTTGGAGCAGATCGGGTCCACGGCCGCCGCTTGAGCCTCCCTGGACGGCCAGAAGACGCCCCAAGGCAGCTCGAACACCTCGTGCGGCGACCGAGTATAGTACCCCAGTAAGCCCCTAAGAAAGAAGCCCCCGAGAGGTCCTGAAAAAATAAAGGCCTCAAGTGCCAACATGAACATATAATCTCGCTAATCTTGAAGGCACACAAATGCCGTCGTCATGGGGGCTGAGGGGCGTGATGTGGACAGAACGCACAACAACACGACTGTTAGCAACGCTTGTATCTACCCGTTTTCGTCCCGGCCTTGTCGTCTGCATGTGCACCTTTTGTTGCTCGCATCGATATACACAATGAAACTTTCATGCGACATGTGCCCGCGTTAACTTGAATCGCGCCGCCAACGCCGCTGTGAACTTTCGAAACGAACTTATCGCGCTCGCAAGCGCGATGCTTCGCAACACTTGATGTGCATCATGGACACTTACCTGGTGCCTCGTGAACAAGTTTGTCACTGAAGAACACCACCAGTCCAGTAGCTCGAGCACATTTTCGACTGCATTAGCGACATGTGCGACGACACTGGGTCCATATGCACGGCGAACTGGGTCCATATGTACGGCGAGCTTCTGCCTTGACGGCGTGGGTCCTATTTTCTGACGCCGCGTTGGCCGCTCGATCGTTAGCAATTTCTACTCCAACACGTTCCAAATAATTTCAAGAAGCTGTCGATCCCACCGTTCGTCCATATTTCACGCCGTGGGCTGTTTTCTGTGGTCTCTCGCCGGAGACGGACTCCCAGAGGGCACTCAAATCTTGAACGTCCGCGCGGGCGTCGCCGCTGAATCGAGGCGGCACGAACCAGCTGTACTGGGAACTGGGATAATGAGAAACACTCGGTGATGAGTATGATCATGACGACGATGATTTAATTGTTTTTCTTTTCGCCCAACAGCGGGAGTCGCCGGCAACGGCCCAAGCACCCGCGCGGTTTCTGACTGGCACTGACTGTTCACGGAGGCGATTCTGCTGTGCGCTCCGCGCCTGCGTCGCCTGTGGTTTCCATGACAAGGGACCCGTCGAAGAGCCTGTCGAAGAGCTTCTCGGTGCCGCTGGGGGCTCCGACGCCGCTTTGCGGCCGCGAGTCATCCAGATCGATCACGGCGCTGGCCTTGCGCCCGAGCGAGGACGGCGTCGAGGCAGCCGGCGGCGTGGCGGCTGGCGAGGGCGAGGCAGCCTCGCAGTCCCCAGAGTCCCTCCCGCCAGTCTCGGACAGCTTCGGCGCGTCCTGCCGCGGCTCTCTCCCTACTTGGCGTGTGCGTGTGCGTGTGGCGTGTGCGTGTGGCGTGGAGTGCACACGCACGCTTTCTCCTGCCTGGCACGCCTGCTGCCTGGATGTCGGAGGATATGCCAGACACACGAGCACGTTTTCGCGCACGCGCGGAGGAGGAGGAGGAGGAGGAGGAGGAGGGGGGGGAGGAGGAGGAGGGGGAGGAGGAGGAGGAGGGGGGAGGGAGGAGGAGGAGGAGGAGGAGGAGGAGGAGGAGGAGGAGGAGGAGGAGGAGGAGGAGGAGGAGGAGGAGAAGGAGGAGGAGAAGAGGTGGAGGAGGAGGAAGAGGAAAAGCAGGAGGAGGAGGAAGAGGAGACGGAGGAGGAGGAGGAGGAGGAGGAGGAGGAGTTCTCAGGTGCACCCATCTGCACGATGTCGCAGCACGGGCGCAAGTACACAGAGCCGCGCAAGGCCCCCTGGAAACATGTGCGCGCTCAGGCGCGCACGTAGGAGTTCGCATGCACGTGCAAATGCGCATGGACGCACACAAGTATGTGCTATGACCACGCTCGCGCTTAGGCTCCAGTACAACGGACGCGCATTGTTCGAACCTCGTTGACATCACCATGCGGGACACTCGGCGCAAACTCGACCATCATAATAGCATGCAGCAGGAGGGCAGTAAGAGGGGAATGAGGAGAAAGAGGAGGAGGATAACGAGGAGGGAGGGAGGGAGGGAGGGAGGGGAGGGAGGTAGGGAGGGAGGAGGTGGAGGTGGAGGAAGAGGAATAGGATGATGATGATGATGATGATGAGGAGGAGGAGGAGGAGGAGGACGAGGAGGAGGAGGAGGAGGCGGAGGAGGAGGAGGAGGAGGAGGAGGAGGAGCAGGAGGGGGAGGAGGAGGACGAGGAGGAGGAGGAGGAGGAGGAGGAGGAGGAGGAAAAGGGCAAGGAGGCGCTCCGCCGCGTGGGGCTGCGCGCGCTGGCGCACGTTTCGCTACTCGCAACGCAACTACTCGCAATACATACATCTGCGACCACCCGCAACGCAACTACTCGCAACGCAACTACTCGCAACGCAACTACCCGCGGGGGATCTGCGATACATGACATCGAAACATTTTTTTGACGTTTGCGAGTAGTGACTTCGTGGGTGGTGGAACGCGCTCGGTGAACCATGGGGGAATAGCACAAAACCAGCCAGAGAACACGGCACATGGGGCCGGAGAAGACCGACCATACCGGATAATACGAACAAATTTGGCCGAGAGCGCGAATCCACGTGACACGTACAGCATACATGCGGCGAGGGCATTCGATGAGGAACCCTTGGGTAAGAAATCCAGGGTCTGGAAGCCGATGGAACTCCACTCGTGGATGGGCTATGGATATCGCCGCCACCCTCATCAGATAAGGAACCCTCCAGGGTCTTAAGCCTCCTGGGCACATTCCTCAAGGAACGCCCCCACCATATTTGCTCGTTGGAACACAGGTTCAGGAAATAACGCGCGTACACAATCCGCCATCGTGCCCCGAGGCACGAATTGGACTGTCCTCAGGTAAAGGCTGCAACGAGGTAGGCGTGCTGGTGGCCTTGCTTCTGCCGACGCGCCAGTGGCGCGAAGCCCCGAGTCAAGTAAATAATTAAGCCGAAAGAGGCCGCCGCGGCCAGGCCTGGCCACGGGCAGCAGGTCAGGCGGCAGGCGGCCGCCGGCCAACTCCAGCCAGCCGCCGAGAAGCGGGGCAGAGGGCAGGAGGGAGGGGAGGGGCCGCCCGGCCGCCTGTGCCACCCCCGCCGGTGCAGCAGCTGCGGATTCTCTGCGTTGAGCTCCGCAGAACTCCCTTGCGGGGCCAACAGCCCGAAGTTCCGGGCGCTCCTGGGCGCTCTCGGGGGGTCCCGCGTGACTCTTCGAGAGGCCACGAGCGCCTTGCTCGGGACATGCATGTCCAGCATGGTCCCAGATGGCCCCGGGGACCCTCCTGGGGCCCTCTCGAGCGCCACTCGGGTCGTCCTGGAGGAGGAGGCCCTGGAGGGCGGTGGCCCACGAGGCCAAGATCGTCAAACTCCATGTGTTCGTGCATGGTCTTCGCATGCCCGCCTTCTCGGTCTTCAGGGCGTCCAGGACGGTCCAAGAGGCGCCCAAGATCGCCCCAAAACGGCCCAAGAGCCACCACGAGAGGCGCAAGAGGTCCCAAAGACGACCCCAAGAGGGACCCAAGACGGGGAACACGAACTGACATTTTGAGTCCTCCACCCCAAGATGGTCCCAAGATCCTCACAAGACCCAGAAGGTGTGGCCAAGAGGTCCCAAGAGGCACCCAAGAGGCCTTGAGGGGTCCAACTCAGGCCCCAAGAGCACCCAAGATGGGTCAGAGGCCACTACTTGCTCGCCTCCTGCGAAGCACCCGCCGCGGCGAGCGCGAGACAACGACGACAAACACATACTGACCTTGCTCGTTGACGGGCCAGGCTCGGGGAACGAGACAATCAAACATAGCTGCGCCCTGCGAAGCAGGCGTCGCGGTGAACTCAAGGCAAAAGGTTAATAGACAGCATGCACACTTCGCCTGTGGCAGGGCCGGTTTGGACTGGGGAAGTATAAAGGACATGACAGCTGCGCCCTGCGATGCCCAGCTCAGTGACGAGCTCGAGGCTCTTAGTGCGGGGTACGGAATATGACGCAACGTCGCTGCCACCAACAACGCCCACGGCAGAGCACACGGACGAAGATGCGGCATCGGGCCTTTACCACTGGGGCTAACCCAACCAACGTCGTATCTGAATCAGAACGCCATGCAGTCAGGGAGTCGGAGCACATGTCGCACTGGGCTCTTTCGCCTCTCACTTGTAGTCTGGACAGATCCGTGCCGCGATCAAGCTGGATAGCCATACGCATGCGCGAACACACATATGTTGCATCAGAACTGATTCGGTGTATACGTTCGCACATGCAAATCACGTTCTCTGAATCATCATGTGTTACAGGCCCGTACGCGTGCGTGCAATGTCATACCATGGCCGAATCACGCATGCTCGCATGCGCGGGGGTACACAGTATTCTCCGGCGTCGGCCTGTCGTGCGCAGACACTGCAACTCTACGCCCGCCCTCGATTTCAATACCTGTACCCGCACACACTCTTTCAAGGCTGAGAACAAAACAACACCTGCCGAACAACCAAACCTGACGGGGACAACACGGGCACCCACGCTGTCGAGAACATACGGGGGAAGGGAGAGTGCCTTCTGCCGATCGGCCGCGCGTGCGGGGGCTGCCCAGGAGGTCTCTCTGCGGCCAGGGGTGCCCACGCGACGCGAACGCTGGAACGCCCTCCTGCCTCTTGCCAGTGCTGAGTTCAGCCCTGGGCCATCGAGGATCGAGGACGATTTAGGTGCATTCCTTGGGGGCCTCGGGAGTCTCCGAGGACGTCTGGGGCTTTGGACCTGGGGCGGCACCAACACTCACCACTCCGCTGCCCCCGGTCCACCGCCTCTTCCGAGCCGAATCCGCTCTCTGGTCCGCTCACGGCCTCGGCCCTGCCCACCCACCCCTCCTACAAAGCACGCAGGCCGCAGAGGCCTCTCGAACCTCTCCTCCGCGGGGGCACCTTCCGGTCCCGGGGCAAGGCTTGATCGCCCCGGGCCCCGAAAACGGTCCCGGGGTGCCGAAATCGAGGAAGCCGCACCGGGACTCAGCCCCCCCCCAAATGATAACCAGGACGTTGGCGCAACCCGCAGCCGTGGGTCGAACGTTTCTCCAATGTTCGCTCGCTCTAGGTGGAATTATCAAAATCCTACAAAAATAATGAATCTTGAAGCTGCCTGTTTCATTTTCAACTCCATGGATGCGCCACGTTGTCATAGAAAAAGTATCAACTTGAGTTTCCGACGGCTTTCGGCCCATCTCGCCACTACGCTCGGTGTGTGTGTGTGTGTGTGCGAGGCGCAGTAATAACATGATCGGGAATACCGCGGCTCCCTAGGACGTGGCCCTCTTGGGACGACTCTCTTCGCCGTCTATTTGGGGGCATATTGGAGGTTTGAGCCTCTTTGGAGATTTACTCTGGGGCCTCTTGGGGATATCTTCTGGGCCCCAGGTGTGGCCCTGAGCGGAGGCCTCCCACATGGGGTCCGAACAGGTGGGGTCGTAGGCTCGAGCTGCATCGCCGCTGCGTCGTCGATGCATCGGCGACGTTGGCGATGCATCGGCGCCGTCGGCGTGGAGAAAATCGGGCTCCGCATTGAGCCGCATACAGCAGGAGCTTGACCACAAGAAACCTGCTACAAGAAACCCAACCCTGAGACCCCAGGACGTCCATCGGTATTTTTGGCGTGGGAACGTCACGCTGTCCATAGCGAAACCATCGAAACACAAGAAACCCAGGGCACCCTCGAGGCAAGCAGGGTGCTTCTCGGCATGGGCCTCCACTGTATGCCTCGGCGATGCGGCGCGATCCTCCGACCCCATCTGGGAGGCCCAGCCTGCAGGACCGAGACGCCCCGTCGGCGGGACGTCCGCCTCTGCCCGCTACCCCCGCTGCCCCGCGCCCCGCCGGGCTCCTCGGCGCCCCCGGCGGTGGCGGCAGCCGCCTCCCCAGCGGCCTGGCTCGGGCGTTGCTCGAGGTGGTCTCCTGGCCCAAAAATGTCCCCAACCTTCCGCTCCGTTCTGTTGCGCGCTGCTTACCGACAGGCGCGCTTCACTACTCGCCAAGTAGCTGCTGGCAAGTGGCCTGGATTCGCCGCGTAGGGCCTACGATCCATTACGTAGAGGAAGACATGTGATTTGTCGGACGTTTGCGAGTAGGCACTTTGCGAGTAGTGGAACGCGCTCGGTGAGCTTCGTTGGGGGGGCCGATAACTGGGGGGGCGAAGGCGCGTGCACCTTTCGTGCCCCTTTTAGGCCTTCTCAGGGCCCCTGAGGTGCACGACAAGCGCGCCTCTCTTCACCCCCGCTGTATCCCCCCCCCCCCCCCCCCCATGACGCAGTGCCCGAGTGTTGGAGCTCCTGGGGCCCTCGGAGCCGCGCGAGGGGTGCTCTGGAGGCCGTGTGGGCCTCCCTGGAGATCCTGGGCACGACCCCGGGCCCAGGCCACGTCTGGCAACGCCCGCCCGGCGCTCGCGCTCGGCCTTCCGCTCCGCCACCTGCCGGCGACTGGCCTTGCCGCGGTGCACGCTCTGTATCCTCGTGGCGGCGGCGGCCTGCGCCAGCGCCAGCTCCTCCTCGGCCGCGGCGGCCTCCGCCGCCAGCGCCGCCGCGAAGGCGTCGCGCCGCCGCGCCTTCTCGGCGGCCTCCCTCCGTGCGGCGTTGCCGCGGAGGAGGCTCTGGATCCTGGTCGCCGCCGTCTCCTCGGGTTGGGTCGGGCATGGAGAATCGGTCTCTTTACAACCAGAACAACCACTTTACAACCAGATGGGTTACTTTACAACCAACATAGGATTCGAGAATATGGTTTTTTCATCGAGAACGTCCACTTTGCAACCAGAACGGCCCACTTTACAACCAGAGCGGACCACTTTACAACCAGAACGGGCCACTTTACAACCAGAACGGACCACTTTACAACCAGCTCAGAGTGGCCGTGCGTGTTTGGGCGCTCCGCAAAGTGCCCCAGAGCAAATGCGCGCTCTCACAAGTGCCCCAGGGCTGCGTGTTTGGGCGCTCCGCAAAGTGCCCCAGAGCAAATGCGCGCTCTCAAAAGTGCCCCAGGGCACGTGGGTGCTCTGAAAAATGCTCCAGAGCAAATGGGCGCTCTCAAAAGTGCTCCAGGGCGCGCGGACGCTCTGCAAAGTGCCCCAGAGCAAGTGGGCGCTCTCAAAAGTGCCCCAGGGCGCGAGTGCGCTCTGGAAAGTGCCCCAGAGCAAGTGGGCGCTTTCAAAAGTGCTCCAGGGCGCGCGGACGCTTTGAAAAGTGCCCCAGAGCAAGTGGGCGCTCTCAAAAGTGCTCCAGAGCAAGTGGGCGCTCTCAAAAGTGCCCCAGGGGGCGCGTGCGCTCTGGAAAATGCCCCAAAGCAAGGGCGCTCTCAAAAGTGCTCCAGGGCGCGCGCGCGCGCGCTCTGAAAAGTGCTCCAGAGCAGGTGTGCGCCCTGAAATATGCTCCAGAGCAAGTGGGCGCTCTCAAAAGTGCTCCAGGGCGCGCGTGCGCTCTGGAAAGTGCCCCAGAGCAAGTGGGCGCTTTCAAAAGTGCTCCAGGGCGCGCGGGCGCTTTGAAAAGTGCCCCAGAGCGACTGGGCGCTCTCAACAGTGCTCCAGAGCAAGTGGGCGCTCTCAAAAGTGCTCCAGAGCAAGTGGGCGCTCTCAAAAGTGCTCGAAAACGCTCCAGAGCAAGTGGGCGCTCTCAAAAGTGCTCCAGGGCGCGCGCACGCTCTGAAAATGCCCCAGAGCAAGTGGGCGCTCTGAAAAATACTCCAGAGCAAGTGGGCGCTCTCAAAAGTGCCCCAGGGCGCACGGGCGCTCTCAAAAGTGCTCCAGGGCGCGCGGGCGCTCTGAAAAGTGCTCCAGAGCACGTGAGCGCTCTGGAACCCGAGGACCTGGACGCTCTGCGCAGGCCCCAGCGATGCCTATGAGCCTCTTGAGGGCCCCAATAGGACTCCCAAGAAGGCCCACAGACACCAAATAGAGAGCGATCGGTGGCGCAAAAAGCTCTTCACACCAAGGCTCCCAAGAGCGAGCGGTGACGTAAACGAGCTGATAAGACCAAGGCTCCCAGCAGAGAGCAGTGACACAACAAGTTCCTGACACCAAGGCCCAGCCAAGGTTCAGGAACGGGCCAGTATTTATGTACGCATGCATGTATGCATGCACACACACATATGTGTGAATGCTGGTATGGAATGGCATGTGTTGACATAGTTTTATACTGCGTGTTATAGACATATATACATATGGAAACGTATAGGTAAATATGTGTATATATAGACACCTGTGTGTTTATATATATATATATATATATATATATATATATATGTATGCGTGGCTCCCTCTGGCAGGAAAGGGCATTACACGCATGCTGGGATGTTCGGCACGTTGCCGAGCCATCGCTCCAATCAGATCTGCGAGACCCCTATTTCCTTGTCCCATTTTCCGACCGCCTCCCAACCCAGTTGACGTTTTTGCCTTCCTTGTGGGCGCGCTGATTTTGTCTCTTCGTCAGCCCCCATCGTTGTCATCTCTCGGCTCTGGTGTCGTTTGGTGCTCTTGATGCCCCAGATGCCACTGACGATGGTGATGATGGCGCCGCCCCATGTCAGCAACATCCTTGGTTATGAGGAAAATCCTGGAGGCCTCGCGCGTCGGGTAATAGTTGTATTGCCCAGCCCATACGTCAGCTCCGTAGACTATGGGTCGACGCTCGCGCGGCGATGCTCCTGCGTCAATCCGACGTACGTCCGACGCAATTCCGACGTAGTCCGACGTGAACCCGACGTAAGCCCGACGTGGATCCGACGCAAGTCGGGCCTCAAGTTGCCACGCGAGGCCTCCATGATCTTCCTGGTAACCCTGGAGCTTCCGACCGCCCCTTGTAACTCCCGCTGGCTGCGGCGGCCCAGGACGTTCGGAGGTGGATAGAGCTCCTACCTCCTCCCTCCTCCTCCTCCTCCTCCTCCTCCTCCTCCTCCTCCTCCTCCTCCTCCTTCTCCTCCTCCTCCTCCTCCTTCTCCTTCCTCCTCCCTCCTCCTCCTCCTCCTCCTCCTCCTCTCTCCTCTCCTCCTCCTCCTCCTCCTCCTCCTCGTCCTCCTCCTCCTCCTCCTCCTCCTCCTCCCGTCCCTCGTGACCTCCACCTCGTGACCTCCACACGTCGAGGGTGGCCGTCAGACGCGGGAGGCGCCCCCCTGCAGGGCGGCGCCCCGAGGGGGGCCCAGGGATCTCAGGCTGCCCGGATCCCACTCTGAAGCAGTGGCGAAGCGTCCTGGCTCGCCTCCGAGGCCTACCAAAGAAGGTTCCTGAGAACCTTTTGTGTGGCTTCCACGAAGTGTTCTTAGAACATGTCTGGCTTAGACTGGTTTGTTTCAGCACAGCGTGTTTATGTTTCATGAACCTTGTTATTGTTCTATGAACATTCAGGAGTGGTAGGCCTATAGGATCGTGGTAGGCCTTATTTGTTCATGAACCTTGTATGTAATCGTGGTAGGCCTATAGGAATACCGGGACGGTCGGTCCCATGTCAAACAGATACACACCGGTCGTGGAGAGTAAGGATTTTTGGATCCCCAGATCCCACTATTTTTGGCGCCTTCCCACTTCAAGGATCGACTGGTGTCCTTCTCCTCTCCTTTTTCAGGGGGCGGGCGGAAACCCAATCTCAGAGGCGGGGCTTTATACATGACCACCGCTTGGGGGATCAATTTCGGTGGCATGTCCATCAATTTCGCATCTCCAGATGCCGACGTGTCATTATCCATGACACGTCGGCGTCTGGAGATGCGCCTCTGGGCACAGGAACATCACATAATGCCTCAGGACGAGAGGAAGCGGGCGTCGGATGTTGAGACGCTCTCATGTGCGGGGCGTTTGGCGTTCTAACAGTGGATACAATAGCCAGGGGGAGCATAGCAACGAATAGCATTGCATGGCATTCGGGCCCGCCATCGTGGCATCGAGCCGCCGCGCCATCGTGGCATTCGGGCCACAACATGCTGGAGGACGCGTCGCCCGCCTCGTGGATTCAATTTGTTGTGTTTTCCCGAACGGGGAGTATTATGGTCTCTCTTGGCGTTTTCTGAGGTAATCTTTGAACCATCGCGTGTCGCGGCTAAGACCCCAGCGCGGGCGTTCAAACTTGAACGACGCGAGTGGGCCGGAATCGGCCGATGTTCAGAGACCTGGCGATCGGACAGTGTCCTGGCGACCTGGCATGTCGTACGGGTGCTCCTGATGTTCCCTTCCGCCTTCTTCCATTTTCGTTTTTTTCCGAAACCGTTTCGGCTCTGGACGAGGCGCCCTTCCTGCGATTTCTCGAACCATGCTCTTGCACATCGTTCGCGTCTTCGCGCTTGCGTGGATGCCTGTGCTCCAGAGGCCCGCGGCCGCTGCCGCCCAGCCGCCGGGCGATGGGATCGCGCCCCATGCCGCCCAGGTGGCAGCCGATGGCGACAAGGCCACGTTTGATGCATCCCAATACACGCGCAAGGTAAAATCATATGTCTCCAGGGAAGAAGGCCTCGAAGACCTCGGGTGCCGCCAGTATTGCAAAAGTCACGCAGCAAGGATCGTCAAAACATCGGGGAAGATCACCCACCTCCGATGCAGGCTTCGCGGCTCTTTCCCTCCATGCAAATGGGCGGCAGTTATCCAGGAAGACTCGCACGGGGAGGCTCACCTATACCAACTACCTCGGTTCACAGAGCATGAGGGTTCCAGCGCGCCGGTTGGCAAGCAGGGCTTCGACAACCTCGATGAGCGGAAAAAGTTGGTACCGTTGCTCCAGCAACCTGCCACTGCTCGGCCGAAAACAGCTTTACGGCAGGCGAGGCTTTCGAAAAAAGGTGGTGTCCAGAAGACGCTTTTGAAGCAGGTCCAAGGCCTCAGGAGGCGCATCGTGAAACAATTCTTCCGCGTGCGCACAGTCGGACAGCTTGAGAACAAGATTTCGCAACACGTGGAGCGACCAGCTGACGCACGGGACGGTTACCTTTGCTTCCGCCACGTGTCCCAAGCAGGGCCCAAGAAGAAACCTGTTGTGACGGTCGTCTGCACCACTCGCTGCCTCCAGCAGAGATGGTCGCACGGGCATAATTGCACGGCCGCGATAGACGGGGGCTTCAAATTCAACCTCCTCGGTTGGCCCCTGCACGCGATTGGCATCGTCAACCCTGCAGGCAATTTCGGTTTATCCAATGGCCTTTGGCCACATCCGCCACGGTCTTGGGCCGGTTTGGGCGTTTTCAGGCCGGTCTTCAGCTCTGCAAGCCGAGAAGGCGAGAACGCAACAAGTCTTGAAACACAGCTGTGCAATCAATGATGTTGGCCTCTTTTTACTCCTTCTTCGGAGGACTTTCGTCTTTTTTTTTTGGGGGGGGGGGCTCTTGGGGGTTGTTGGGGGCTTATTGAGTTAATCTGCTCCTCTCCGCATCCTCTCTTTTGCCGCTGCCGCCGCCGTGCAATACTTGTCGCATGTACTCGTAGACTGCATTGCCAAGGCCATCGCCGATCTATCGGTGATGCATGCATCAGTACTGTCCGCAGCTACCTTTGTGAGTCAAGTGGAGAAAAGGTCTCCGCGCGCGCCCCCCCTCGCCCTTCGGCCGGCCTGCCCGGCGCGTGCGCGCGTATTCACATATCGCTTATCCGACTTGATTACTGCCAAAGCCATGGCTCTCCCCAATTGTTCTTTCCCTGGGCTCCCCCAG